GGTGATGGGTGGGTCTGGTCGCTGCGCCGGCGAGGGGAGGGACGGACCAGACCGGACCGGACCGACCTCCATGGGGCGTGTGATAGGTGGCTGTCCTCGGCCGTCGCCGGCGGGGGCGGGGCGGGGCGAGGAGAGCCATGGCTGACGCTGGACGGTTGGGCGCTCAGTCCTCGCGCTCCGCTGCCGCCGCCCAGCAGAGGCCTCCCGGCTCTCCCCGCCGCCCACCGCCATGAAGTACCACGTCATAGTAAGTTCCGCAGCACGGTCGACCCCGCGACCCCGCCGATGTTGCTCGGATGCCACGAACATATGCAAGGATGCAAATCAGCTTCCCGCACCATCGGCGCCGCTCCCCCTGTGTCCGCCCGGGGGCTCGGAAAGGGGGTGACAGCCGCAACGCGGGCGGGTCCGGGGCTTCTACCCCTTCTAGCTGGATGGGCAGGTTGGCTGCCAACTAGGTGTATTATCACTGAACCAACGCTTGTCGGAGCCCTCGCAGGATGCATTTACAAGGAAATAGGTTGAAGCCAGACGGTCGATGACCCACGACCCGGCCGCGCTGCCTGCTCTGGTGCTGCCGCTTCCGGACAAGTCCGGCCATCAAACCAGGCAAACGCACACGCCAGATGGACCCAAAATGCAAACATGTATGCACTGCGTCGATAAAAGCAACAGACTTATTCGCCATGCACATCCAATCTGTGTTTTGTATGAAGCACGCAAGGCACATTCGCGTTTCTTGGTAACGCCGAATGACCTCGGCTCCCAAACAAATGAAAAATTAGCTCTCTTCGCGAGCAGACCGATACAGCACAGTGACGGCGTTACAATAGAGTGTTTCGGCTTCTGTGACAGGCTTGGAATCGTCTCGGGGGGATCAGATCTCCTGCTTCGTTCGTTCCCTGACTAACGAGACCGTTGAGTAACACCTTGTAAATCTGTAGGCCTGGTCGTAGGTACAGGGACCAGGGGCGGGGGGGGGGGGGGCGGGCGACTACGTTGTCCAAGTTCCGCCCCAAGCCAGCTTCACTAAACTCGTTGACTTCGTCGCAGTTTGGAGAATTAGGTGCGAGGTCGGTCGGTTTTTTCCCGGCCCCTCGCGGTATTTGTTTCCCATCCTACATGTTTAAGCCTCCATGCAAAAATCCCAGTGACCGTGAGCGCACCTTGAGTGTCCTTCTTCCAATCGACTGCAATCGCGTTCTCTGACACGAACGCGGCGCCGAACTGGACACCGTGTTACTCAGTTCATGACGCGCTAATTGTCCGCTGCTCGACGTCATCTCTGCGGTGCTGCACCTGGACTCGCGTGAACAACTGTCCAGACGCTCAGCACATTGTCAAGTTACTACTCTTTCCTTAAAAATTTAACTTCCAGAATATGACAACGTTTCATTGTGCATTAAGCCTTTAATGGCACCGAACTGTCATATCGATGATGGGCTTGCCGAAGGGAGAATGACAGACGATGCTCACAGGGCCTAGTTTCTTCAGGAGCAGCTTTCCTTTTTATTGTGGAGGGAATTGGCCTGATATCCACTGCGGCGCACCAAGTGTGCGGTATGACCCAGTTGTTCAGTGTGCTTAGAGACTATAAAGCGTGAAACATGCTAACAGCGACTTTGTGATAAACATCTGCCGACAACGGGGCCTGAAGTCAGAGATGGTGCTCTGGCTCATCTTTGCTGTCTTTTTTGACACCCAAATGGGAGGGGGAGGAGCGGTGATACAGAGGGTAAATGATGCTCATGAAGAGGACGGTGTTTATATACCAAATTATACCTGGTTGACACAACTTACGTTAGTTATGTGCGACTTTGTGATAAACATCTGCCGACAACGGGGCCTGAAGTCAGAGATGGTGCTCTGGCTCATCTTTGCTGTCTTTTTTGACACCCAAATGGGAGGGGGAGGAGCGGTGATACAGAGGGTAAATGATGCTCATGAAGAGGACGGTGTTTATATATCAAATTATACCTGGTCGACACAACTTACGTTAGTTATGTGTGTCACACATTGCAAAGCTTTGGGGAACTGTAATGTATCTAGATTTCATGAAGTTGTGACTCACGGGCCTCCCAATGCTTATGAACATTAACGTGGCCCCTGCTAGCAATGCATGGCAACTATCGACCTGGAATCCCAATTTTCCCACGTGGTTAGATAAAAATAGGCATCTTCTCACGACAGCTTAAAAAGACATCAATGCAATGACTAGATGCCGAGGCACAAAGTCGCGCATGACTTTGCGACATCTCCGCAATCATCGCACAACGCCATTTAGGGCCGCTCGCAACAGTTTTGCCAAGTATTAGCTTCATCTGGGCGTCTTCAGGGAAGCCAGTGGACTTCAGTGGTGTCATGCACTGCCGCACAGCATTTAAAGCTTCAGTAGCTCGGAGCTAAGGCACGGTGAGCCCAAGCTCTTCTTCTTCAAATGAATTGTTGTGCCTTTGCTCGCCATTTCTTACAGTAAAGACATATTGCAAAAAAATTAAAGTCGCACCTCCCTCCCCATTTCAGAAAGAATAAACCTTGAAAAACATTAAGCTTATGACCACTAACCAAAAGGGTGCGGCAAGATTTCTTTCTGGATGAAAATGATTTGCTAGCCTTTATCAAAAATAATTTATGGTCTAATTCGTTCAGAGCTCTGATGTGAAGTAAGCGATTTCTATAAATGGTTTCTATGTAAACGGTTTTTGCGATAAAAGTATGCGTAAGCGGTTTTTGCCCATTAAAACGATTATATTGAGGGTACCCGACATTTCGAGCTGTACTCATCCTCAGGGGGATGAATACAGCTCATCACAGCTCGTGAGCATGAGCACAGCTCGACAAATGAATTACCGTCAATATATTCGCCATTTAGCACTACAACGTCGTTTAACCAGTAACCCCTCCTATATAAAAGGCTGCTAATCCAACATGAGAATTGGAGCGCATGATGCCGAAAAACCAGTCACTGAAGATATTTCTTTTTTTGTCAAGAAAAAAACTGTCTTTGCGCAGCGTGTTTGAATATTGGTCGTCCGGACATGTGGATATGCTCCTGCTGCTACGAACATCATGTGGAGAAATAGCAAAGCCATTTGGGACATAAGGAGCAGCGTCATCATGTCTGGAAAAGTCTTCTATCTGGGTTTGAGTCGGCTTTGGCTCCACTTGGTATGGACAAAACATAAAGGGCCCAAACGGACCGAAATTGAACGGGGTGGACCCTAACCTCAGCAAACCCAGCACAGGCCACATCTATGGATATTGAAGGGGCATAACGTATTGTGCTGCTGTGTGCTGATACCTTTGTCTGTGCTTGGGTGCTCCCACAATAAGGAGGCAAGGCACACACGCAGCAATTTTTTCTTGGTCTGTGATTTTCTGGGGATGACACACATCCTTATGCAGTGAGAATATTTAAGTTGAAATCTGCCGACGCAAAAATCAAATTGAAGAATCCGTCGGGCCTGATATCTCCGCAAAGCATTAGATGCGAACCACTGCTCCTGTTTGCGTTATGTTTGTTTCTAAATACCTAACCGGTCAGAAATGTTGGTGTCCAAAAACGGCTCATTAAGCACGTGGTTCAGGACTATTTTCACAATCGCTATGAGATCAACTGGACTTGGCAAGGTCTCACATTGCGTACGCCTAAGAGGAGTACTCAGTCAGGGAGGAGCGGGGACGAGTAGTAGTGAGAGGAGTACGAGCACGTTTGCGCTGGAAGGTCGGCGGATCAAGTTGATTGTCATTCGTGCTGACGATAAGCAGTGGTACTGACCCCTGTCAACTAATCTAATGATCCTGTTCTTTTTACCGCTGCGTCTGCGGCAATAAAAACAACGGAAAAGCCCTCTTGTAGACAGTATACATTCCAGGCTTATAAGAAAAAGTCCGGTCTTGAGCTACGGTTACTTCAGTTGCCATCCAGCGCTTCACGAGTATCACATCACGTGACTGGACAGGCCAAACTCAGCGGTTTGTTGCCCCGTCACGTGACGTGACGGGCCTCGAGCGGGTCAGCGAGGGTCGGTGGGACACGGACGGGTGCGGCGGTCGTGGGCTGACCGCTGCACAGACCGCCGTCGGTCGTGACCTGTTGGCATCTGGACAGACAGGCGCGCCGACCAGCCGCATGTCATCAGACCGGGCTCCGTACAATCCAGATGTCAGTCGCGGTTCAAGTGTCCGGAATAGCTGGGCCATGAACGCTGGACGAGACAGATGTGTGGGAGTTTGCCTGGTCGATAGGTGGCCGCCTGCAGCAGTCATTGGGGACTGTGAGTGCTGCGCATCAGCAGCCAGAGTCCCCCTACCGATCAGAGCGGTCTGGTGGGCGCCGAGTCGACATGCCACTCAGCGCTGGAAAAGATCGTTTCTCTGATCAGTCTGAGCGGGCGGCCACAATCAGACAAAGTGGGATAACGCGTACAGATGCCTGACTGCCAGACAACATCTCACTGCTTGATTGCCAGCAAAAAAAAAGAAATTATTTTCCTAAAAGAAAGATGAAAATTACTTGTCCTATATGATCGCGGGCATGGAAAACGTAAATGTCTGTCAGGACTGCACGTCTGGTGATAACCGCGTGCGTCAGGTGATAACCGTGATAACCGCGTGCGTCAGGTGATAATCGTGATAACCGCGTGCGTCGGGTGATAATCGTGATAACCGCGTGCGCCAGGTGATAACCGTGATAACCGCGTGCGTCAGGTGATAACCGTGATAACCGCGTGCGTCAGGTGATAACCGTGATAACCGCGTGCGTCAGGGAGCCGTTGCGTCTGTCCGTGTCACCGGCCGGGGTGCTGATCGTGGCCGTTACCGACCTGCTGTTACGGACCTCTTGTTACCGACTTCCTGTTACCGACCTCCCGCTAATGACCTGCTGTTGCCGACGTCCTGTAATCGACCTGCTGTTACCGACGTTCTGCAAATGACCTGCTGTTGCCGACCTCTTGCACTTGCCGGGGCGCTGACCGTGCGTGCTCTCTCCTCCCCAGGGCTTCACGCCGCGCCTATGTCTGGCGATCGCTGCCACCGTGCTGGGATCTGCCTTCCAGCACGGCTACAACACGGGAGTCGTCAACGCGCCGCAAAAGGTAGGTACGGGTACATCTTGGCGCCGCCGCAGGACCCCGCAGAGGGCAGGTACGGGTACCTCTTGGCGTCGCCTCAGGACCCCGCGGAAGGTAGGTGCGGGTACACCTTGGCGTCGCCTCAGAACCCCACAGAAGGTAGGTACGGGCACACCTTGGCGTCGCCGCAGGACCCGTAGGTAGTGTCCCACCACACAGTAAATAAAGTTCCAAGAGAGGGCCGTTGTGAAGTTTGATTTGGAGGCGTCTGTATGCACTACGGTGCTATAGTGCTGGTGGCTGGGGATTGCTGTTCATTGCATTGCTCTACAGCGTACTTGCAAAACGCTGATCGACTATGGCCGGACGTCGGTTGTAGATCTATTGATATTATACACACACACACACACACACACACACACACACACACACACACACACACACACACACATACACACACACACACACACACACACACACACACACACACACACACACACACACACACACACACACACACACACACACACACACACACACACACACACACACACCACACACACACACACACACACACACACACACACACACACACACACACACACACACACACACACACACACACACACACACACACACACACACACACACACACACACACACACACACACACACACACACACACATGTATATATATATTTTACTTACATAAATATATATATATATATATATATATATATATATATATATATATATATATATATATGTATATAGGACAAAGCATGGCGCATACTTAGTTCCAAATGTTTACGAGCCTGCAATATGTATATGTATATATATATATATATATATATATATATATATATATATATATATATATTTATATATATATATATATATATATATATATATATATATCCTGTATGCCGCATTGGTTGTCCGAGTGCATGGAGTATACCTAGACCTCACCAGACCACAGGTTATTTCATCTTCACGGCGGATTTGCCACATCCCCAGAGGCGTTGGAGAACACGAGGCCACTGGTGACGCATGGCAGCGCCCCCCCCCCCCCCCCGGGCACGGAGGCGCGAGAGGCGCAAGGCCATCTGACCCGGGGCCAGTCACGCCCTGAGCCTCTGGGCTTGTGGCGCCGCGTGACGCGCGCCTCACGAGGCCGGACGCTTGCTCCGCTCGCCCGTCCTGGCTGGACGCTTGCTCCGCTCGTCCGTCCTGGCTGGACGCTTCCTCCGCCCGCCCGTCCTGGGTGGACACGTCCGGGCATGCACGCCAGCGCGAGGCCGTCGCGTCCTCCACTCGCCCGTCACGTCTTGGCTGGACGCGTCCTCCGCTTGCCCGTCCTGGCTGGACGCGTCCTTCGCTCGCCCGTGCTGGCTGGACGCGTCCTCCACCCGCCCGTGGCTGCTGGACGTGTCCTCCGCTTGCCCGTCCTGGCTGGACGCGTCCTTCGCTCGCCCGTGCTGGCTGGACGCGTCCTCCACCCGCCTGTGCTGGCTGGACGCGTCCTTCGCTCGCCCGTGCTGGCTGGAGGTGTCCTCCGCTCGACCGTCCTAGCTGCACTCGTCTGAGCATGGACGCCCGGCAGCCTGTCAGGGCACTGACTTTGGGTCTAATCCGGTTTCATGACTTTATTTACGACGGGGGCGAAGTCCTTGTAGTTTTTTTGTCGCTATTTCTTCGGGGATAACTACTCTTCAAGGTAAGCCGGCAGCCTGGAGGGATGGATGGAGGGAACTAGTAGGAGCTCATATTACTCCACCATGGTTTCTCTTTTTGAACGGTGCCCGTAGCCACAGCATCGCCTAAACAGATTACAGTCTTCTGGACGTGAGAAGATTGATTTATCGCCCCGCTTTCGCCTCCGGCCGCCGGCGCCCGGCGCCCGAGATAATGTATGACTAACTCAAACTAACAGGATGAGTATCCCAAACAACCCACATACCTGTGCCGCAAGAGCTTACAGCCCAAAATATTAACCTTTTCTCCTTTCTTCTCTCGTCGTCTCCTTTCTTTTCATTTTCATCAGTCGCGCTTCCCGCACCTATTTAATATGATACCACTACTTTGCATTATAGCATGGTGCACCAGTGATTTCCGTTCAGCACAAATGCGTTCTGTCGATTAAACCTTGTAAGACCAGTACTTTTTTAATCGCCTCGCTGTTAGATCCGTCCGATCCGTGCGAGATGAAGTACGTTGAAATACGATTTGATCCTTATCCGTGTTTTGGTGGAAATGACTGATTCCATCCAACCAATTCGTGCACTTATCAAATTTGTGATGAGCTCTACATTACCGTCGTTTACAAATCGGCTCCGAACTGCATTGCACCAATAAACTGGCGCGTGGCCGTTCTCAATTGCACCTGCGCCAGTAGCCCGACCAACGTCAGATTTCCTGGCAAAGCGAGATTGGGCCCGCTTCCCTGGGAGTTCGGGAGCGCAGATGGCAGCCCAGGAGTGCGTGTAAGAAGTGAATGCATGAGGATGCCGCGTGCGCTGTGCGCTGGCAGGGCAACAAACTGCAGGTCCCCTCACGAACGGCGCTCTGAACATCGCTAAATATATCGTTCGACTCGGCCCTGGCTGTAGTCCAGCCGCTGGCAGCGCCGCCCGATCTGACATGGGTTCGCAGACGCGCGGTGCCGTCCCGTGACCGGGTATATAACAGTCGGGTGGCGCGTGAGTTGGCGCCGGGCCCGGCCGGGCGTCACCGGAACACGCTGGCGTCCTGTCAACGTCACACCTCGTGACAACTCTCTGGGATCCGACAGCTTTGCAGTTAAGAGGCGGTTGATACGAAAGTGCCGCGTCGATCGCTGGCCGATGTCCTGAAGCAGCACGGGCTGTGGTGGGATGGGAAGAAGGTGTGGGGTTTCAAGCTGCGGAATGCAATCGAGAGTGTCTCTCGACTGCCATCTCGACACCATGGAAGCGCCGAGGCAGACATCAGTCCCACGATCTAGTCGCTATCCACGCGTTAGTTTTATCACCGCCGCGCGTTAGAGGGGAGCTCCGGCACCACTTAAAGTATGGAAGGAGGGGCAGAAAGGTAAGCGCCTGGGCAGGGCGGTCACTGGCACCGGTCACCGGCGCGGCGCGTGGTGCGACGTTGCGGTGCGATGGCGCGACGACGCGGCTCGATGGTGCGGCGGTGTGGTGCGATGGTGCGACGGTGTGGTGCGGTCCCGGACAGCGAGCGGTACCGGTGGCGGTGCCCAGCCGCGCTCCGACAGACTACGCCCCTGACTCAGCCTACGCCGTCCTCACTTGCCGTCATCAGCGACTATCAAGTGTCCGGCAGACGCGTGCAAATTGCATACCCCGCGCACGAACTGTGTCAAGGCTCCGTGCCTGGGCCTTGGCCAGCGGAGCCGGGAAGCTCTTAGTCGGAAGCCCGGGTCAGAGGGCGGTGCATGTTTATCGAACTGTCGGCCAGCCACCGTGCCTGGGCGGCGGCAGAATCGACGTGGTTAAAAGCGGACTGCTTTCCGCCGTGGCTGGCGCCGTGTTACGGTCCGACTGACCTAGTCCCGAGCGCGCTGTCTGCGGTCCCGGAGTGGGCTGCCCTGCACGCTCACGCAGCTGGAGCTAAAGCCGGAGCTGAAGCTGGAGCTGATGGTGGGCTACGCAGCAGCTGAAGCCAGCTACCACAGAGGCGGCCACGCCGTCAGGAGCGAGGACTCTTGTTCTTGGGACTTTTGGTGGGCAGCTCAGTGGCCGTTTGCTCCATGTGAGTCAGAATGCAGATGCAGCACACGCCAGATGATATTGCGCTCACCACAATGTTTTCAAAACAGTCAATCTGTCTTATTTCAAATCGTCATAGATTTTTGTAGGTGCGTGCAACTAGAATATAATAGTCATAGCAAGTGAGGCATCATCTCGACAGCGAGATCTGCGTTGACGATGGCCATTAATTTCGTTTATCGCTGGACGTTAGCTCAGCCTGTCGATGACACTATAGGCGGCGACAGTCTCAGCCTGTCGATGACACTACAGGCGGCGACTGCCTCAGCATGTCGATGACAGTACAGGCGGCGACTGTCTCAGCCTGTCGATGCCACTATCGGCGGCGACTGTCTCAGCCTTTCGATGGCACTATACGCGGCGACTGTTTCAGCCTGTCGATGGCACTATTGGTGGCGACTGTCTCAGCCTGTCGATGGCACTATCGGTGGTGACTTCTCAGTATGTCGATGAGGACTGCTCAGTCTGTCGATGCCAATATCGGTAGTGACTGTTCAGCATGTCGATGTCACTATCGGTGTCATCTGCTCAGGCTGCGCAGTCGGCCCGTCCGCCGGTGATCACTTGATTTGGCCCACTTCCTGCAGCTGGCAAATGGCCACCTTTCTAATCGCCGCTAAGTGTGCCCACCTACCGGTGCGCGCAGACAGAGCAAGCCTGACCAGGGAGGCCGGCAGCCTTGTCACCAAATATCGATGCCCTCTGAGAAAAGGCTTCTTTGCTATGCTTCCCGCCAACAATTTGGTTAGGGGTCGAGGGACTATCACACCGGGTCGGGGGACAGTCCCACCGGACAGTTCCCCGGCTTTGTTCCCGTCACAAGGCGGGCGGGCCGCTCCTGTGGGCTGTTCAGTTGGCTCGTTCACGCCTCAAACCATTCCGTCAGCGCCCGACCTCGAAAACGTTCACAGACATACCTTCACCTGAGGACTCGATCGCCCTGCGCTTGACGCCCGCGGGCCGGAGGATGTGGGATTTGATGTTGCATGCCCTTGTCATGTCATGACTTTTAATTCCGATCCACGGTTCAGCTTCCACCGGAGCAATCAACGTGAAACACTTAACAGTTGTCTCAACACCAGCGAACTTAAGCCCCGATTGGACGCACCAGACCGGCCCTCAGTGGCGAACCCGTTTCGTCAGCAATACGAAACTGCCATCTCCAGCACTGCGGCGGCTTCAGCGCCAGCTCAGCAGCATAGGCCAGACCCTGACGCAACCGGGCTCCGGCGCCGGTCGATCCCGCTGAGCTCGCCT